TGCAAGGGGGGGAAATTGTTGCTTGGTGATGCAAATGAGTTACAGCAGCATATTGTCACTGTTACAGGCTTTGGGGAAAACCCTGTATGTTGTCGTAATTTCAAAAGGTAGTCATTTCAAAAAGGACAGGATTCCTCACAAACAAAGTCTCTTCCACTTGTTCAAAAAGAAAAACACCAGTGATTCTGGGCTGTTGAGAGATTTGTCATCATGACCAACAAGAACTTCAAAGGCTGCACTCAACTGATTTCTGATTCTAATTTGATAAAATAGGAACAAGATAGAAGCTTCAAAATAAACGGGTTTCATTGTTAATTTCTCACAATCCGTACATGGAACTGTGTCTCTAAGCTAAACCAAACAAGAAGGCACACACACACAGCATAGAACAGGCTCTCAAGAAAGCTGCCCCGACATCTCCCTCATCTATCACTGCTATCGACAGCTATCGCCCTCAATAGGACAGGCAGGTCTGGACCGTTTTCGCTCATAGTGCCCACTTCACTTTCCTGCCCCACCTGCCTGCCCACTAACAACCAATTAACTTCCAAGAGTCCTTCCTGTAAAGCTCAGGGGTAACTTCTCCCCTGACACACACACAAATTTTTCCTGAGTCAGTGTGCTCTGCTGGGGTGGTCAACTGAAAAGGGATTTGCAAAGAGCGACCCATATGTAAAGAGTAGACCAGCCATTGGCAGATATGTTTAGTTTTATCTCTTAAATGATTTATAAAATGAGACACAAAATTGCTTAAACTTGCTTAAAAGTAATACAACATTAAAATAAATAAAAAGGTGTATTGTCAGTAGGCAAGAGTATCATTTAAGATGTGATGTAAAAAAACGTGCATGAACATTTCAAGGGAATTGCATACATACTCTCTCCCCTCTCCAATTCCTGCATCCATCTCCATTTTCTTAACTAGATGTTGATTACACACACTAGCCATTCGCCCCCATGTGAATTACTCCAGAGGAACTGTGACTGAAAATAAGAGGTGGATCGCTGCGTGGATTGGCACAACCTAGCATTTTAGATTTCCGTGGCACTGACCAGCTGTGGGATCTATCACCAGCTGCTGACACAAAAATCCCAAATATTTCCAGTGGACATTCATGGGTTTTAGCTGTGCTTATTTGTTTCCTAGCAGCAGTGAGGCTAGACGGTGTATATGAGCGAAAGGATGAAGAGGAAAAGCAGAATGAGCCACACATCAACACTAGGAGAGGTCAAGGATAGATAAAAGGCATGCACACATATGGGTCAGAAACGTACTTGATAGGTTGCCTCCGCTAACACACAGAAAAAAAACACATTCAGTCCACACACAAACACTTGAGAGCTATATTAACACCAGCCTCTCTCTACCAGGCACGGCACTGGGTCCAAAAGGCCCTTGGTGCAGAGGGGGATGGGGAGACAAGTGAGGAGAAGAGGGCAGAGGGAGTGACAGGTGAGAGAACAGGATGAGAGAGAGAAAGACAGTCATGACACTCCGTTTTGAAATTCGCCATGGTGCTTAAGACCCCCGCTAACCTCTTGGCTAGAAATGGGAGGAGGGGGGGAACAGACAGACTGGCAAAGATGAAGAGAGAGTGAGAGAGACAGAAAAGGTGTGAATGAATAGTCGAAAGGAGAGGAGGGCAGAGGGGGAGTGGGTGGGTGAGGGGGTGGAGGTGGGAAGATAGATGGCAAGATGAAAGAGACAAACAATGATGGGGACAAACAACAGCACCACTTCTCATCTCTGCTAACAGGGCTGCCATCTACTACACATGATGATAGGAGACAAAATGGCCACCCTAACAAACACCAGCACTCTGACTCAGACACCCAATACCAGGCTCACAAAGCTAAACTGTCCATCAGGAGTGCTGCAGCACCAGGTGCTGTTTACCCGACTGAAAAGACATTGTTGTCTCAATACTGGCCTTAAACCAGGTGGTCACAGTAATCCACCTTCAAAACACAAGTTTCTGCCCGACTACAGCAAGGGAATGCTATTGTGATTACACTCTAGTCTGATGTCGCACGAGACAAAATAGCTGCAGTGTGGAAATGCTTCAGGAAGGAAGTTGGTAAAAAACATGCAGCAACCTCACATATACAACAATTACTACAAAGTATGCATATCAGAAAGCTGTATCACTCATACACTAGTTTCCACCAACCATGTTTTAGATCTTCCCAAAAACTTGTAGTCATTGCTTTTTGTATTAGATGTGCCACAAGTAGCCCACTGAGAATTTTTTTTCCAAATTTCAGACCAATGATTTACAATCGAATGAGGTAAAAGACCTGAAACAAAACGAGAGCAGACTAGACTGATGGTGATATTGTTATCAGCTAAGCTGAAAGTTAGCAGGAGAAAAATCCTTCTCTAAAGTCATGAGAGAAAAGTCATTACAGAGTGCATGTCTATTTCCAAACTATTATCAACAGGGACACTACACACAATCTAGTAAAATGTGATGCTATGCATAAAGACGCCAACCCTGGCCACAAAATCACCATGGCTGCCAGGTGAAAGTTATGGTTCTCTCTGTATGCCTGTACTAACTGTTAATCCTATGACCTCCACTTAAGAAGTTCAAGCCTGCTTCATCTGAAAAATTGAGAAGCAGTATGAAAAACATTGAGAATTGATTAAAAGGTCAATAGAAAATGACACATTGTGGATGAAATGGTCAGAAAACCAACACTGGTCTAACTGGTGATTCATAGGTCAAAACAGCAGGGGAACAGCTTACTCACAGGCGTGACACACTGATGGACACCTGTCCTACATAAAGGGCAGCAGTCATTCCACAAGATAAAGTGCCTGAAGATTCAACTTGTAATTAAAATATAAATTTGAATGAATTAAGATAAGTTAGAGGGTGTGATCAGGTGGAGGATGAGCATCAGTGCATGGTAGTAACGTGGGAATTTAATTTAATCATTCAGTGAAATCTTTATATTTTTTGTGCAGGGTATGAGTAACTTCACTGCATGTGGTGTATCCCCCAACTGACCCCTAGTGTAAGGAGGCAGGGATTTCCTGACTGTGTGTGAGGCCATGTCAGGCACACTGGCAGCAAGCTGGGCACTGGAATGACAAACATTGTTCAGGCCTCATGGTATGGAGCACACAGCATTTTTTGTTTTTATAAAAAAGGAACAAAAGTTTTTTTCTTGAAGCACATAAATTAAACCAATGACAAGTCATGGCGATGTAAACGTTTGCGGTTAGGTGAATGTTCCAGTAACGATAAGCCAACAATTACAAAGAGCTAATTTAGTTTGCCCTCTGACTGTAAATAACACCCAGGTATTAGGTTTTTTTAAACTCAAGGCAAGCAACTCCAACATCAACAACACAACTTCCAGAAAGGCCCATTTCAAATACACAACCTCCCAAAATTAATAGAACGGCTTGTAATCTAACTAAATGAAGATTTAAAAACAGGTATAAACTGCAAAAAAAATAGATACACTATATCTACATATATGAGTTTATATATAACACTAAATGTAGAGCACATGTGGGGTAAATTAACTTGTATCCAAGTTTCAGCTAAATCCAACTGCCTCTAACAATCCATGGCAGTTTTGAAGCTGAAAAGGGGAAAGAAGTGCCTCAACTTTAACCACAAGAAAAGACAGAGGGACAAACCAGAGACCAAATAGTGCTGAACATCTGGTGTGTGTGTGTGTGTGTGTGTGTGAGTGTGTATACGGGGCCTCTTATCTCTCCCTCTGTGGCCTGCTAAACATGACTAGCTGCCATCTTGGCTCACAGACACAAGGTGGTGGGGGTAGCAGCTCCTGGCTCTGAGGCAGCAGGAGGAAAATAACGAACTAATTCATCTCCACGGATTATGACAGACTGTTAATAAAACCACCACGTGAGAGCGAATAGCAACGAGTGCGCGTGTTTAAAAGCGTGTGTGCGTAGAGGATGGGTTTAAAGTTGGGTTTATTTCAGTCATTTCAGCGCAGCCAAAGTTGTGTGAGAGCGACAGGGTGACCATTATATAAGCTGACCCGACTACAGAGCACGTAATGGTGAAAGAGAGCAGCAGCAGCACAAACCCCGGCAATAAAGTCTGGAGTGAAAAGAAATCACGCAGCGCTCAGTGTGTCCCGTGGAGATGAGTGGCCTGAACCAGCACCGGCAGGTGTTGTGGGCTGCCTGTTCTCCGGTCCATTCCGAGTAACAAGTGTAGCCATGCTGCTTACCAAACTCCACTCGCCGGATACGATGCGACATGACAAACCTCCCAACACGGCAAAAGCTAAAGAAAACCCGCAGAAACGCACGATAAGAACGCGAGGTGTTGTTTGTGTCTTTTCACTTCGACAAAAGTAACACGAAAGACGCGTAAAGTTGGTTTTCTTGCCCGAGAGCAATGCAGAAAGCAGCTTCGTAGTCGGCCCGTGAAGGGGGGCTACGGAGTGGTCGACACAATGAGGATGAGAAGTGGCTAACAGGCTAGCTGAACTTCTGTGTCCTAGCGCTGGGCTAACCTCCAGCGGCTAGCACGGCTAATTAGCCTATCAGCGGTATTTTGCACGTCGTTCCGGACCAGGGAACGACTCCCTCTTCTCGGCTTTTTTCTCCTTAAAATAAACTCTTTCCACCTTGCACCGACGCTACGGAGCGGCTCGGGAGTGTTTTTCCTACATCTGACCGGGTTTCGCTGTGGTAAATCGCGTTAAAAACAAGGTGAAAAACACGGTCGTATGGAATGACCGCCTGGCCTCACAGATCCCCCCTCCTCTCCTCCACTGCTCTGTCCCTTCCGTCCAATACAACTGGCGACTACTACGCACACTTCACGCTGCGCTCTTGCCCGTAAAAACACACGTATTCAGCCGAAACACGACTAATATGCAAACTTTTATGAGGGAACACTTAAAAACGAGCCCTGCGGAGCGTTTGTTGGCGATATGTGCCAAGTATTCTCCGCTGGGAATCTCCCTGAGAGCTGCGCTCATTCAGTCGGCCAGTGACTCACCTCTACGCTCGAGCCACCTCGTGTCTCCTGGAAGCTTCAACACAATTAGCTAACCGGGCTAACAGTCACTGTTTAACAACACCACCAACTCCACACTTCACAGAATAAAATCCAACAAGTTGTCGGGGGAGCCGGCTCGGAAACACAGACGCTCCCCGTGTGTTTTCTTTCCACTTTTCCACTGACTAATGGGACTGTTGTGCGTATGTGTGTGTGTGTGTGTGTGTGTGTGTGTATATGTGTGTGTGAGCTATACAGCGGGTGGCAAAGCTAAACTTGCTATTGTTAGCATGTCGGCATGGGAGCTACATGGACCTTCAATGACTTTCTGCTGAAATGAGGGAATAAAACTGAAGCTAAACAAAACCAGCAGCGTCTCCATCCAGTTGGATGTGAATGAAAATACCCTCCGGCTGAAAACCAAAGTCGCTCGGCGGATTTAAGCGTCCGATAGCGCTGTGGAAAAAAGTATGGAAAACTTGCTATTCAACCAGAACATAAATGGTTTTAATTCAGAAGCGTTGGTTACAATGAAACTATCGCACCCGGGCTGAATGCAGCCGGACAACATTCGAAATTCACTCATTCAAAGGGGGGGCATTTGTTAGCTTACCCAACAAGCTCGGTCACTTCGGGGCTTTTATCAAATCAACTCCTCGCTGGCTGCTGAGTATCTCCGCTCGCTTGAAAAAAAAAAAATCCACCGTGGTCCTTTTTTTCGTTTGAAATATAAATAAACAGAGGAGAAAAAGTTCAAGTTTCACGTCTTTCTCGTGAAATATTTCTCCTGCGCGTCTCGCATCCGCAACCGCACCGACTCGTGTGCGTTGCTCTTCTCTCCTTTGTGTTAATTTCACTCGAATCGAGTTTAATCCGATCGATCCCTCGGCTGGTCGCGCTCCCGAGTCCTCCCCTCCAGACACTCGCTCACCTTCCTTGGCCAGGGGGGGCGCGCTCCCGAGGACCTCTCATACAGATAAACAGCCGGCGTGCGCGGTCACTGACCCCGCCACGCCAGTGCGAGCCTCTGCTGGAGTTCCAGTTTGCGGATGGAAAAAAAAAAAAAAGAAAATGATTTATCCGCTTCAATAAGATGATGCTTTTTTTTTTAAAAACTGCGAGACTGAAATACACTGATGTGGGTTTATTTTAATTTGTGTTGAGATGACAACACAACAGAGGACAGGAACCTGGTTTTGAAAACCTGATTCAAACCAATATTTAGGGAACACTGCATTAGGCCAAGAGAAAATAGTTCGGTGGCGTGTGTCTTCACATTTGCCTGGAGGAACAAGTTTTCAATTCATTGTTTTTCATGAATCTAATATGTTGATGAATAAATACAGAAATAGTTCAATGTAGGACGTGGTGATAGGTTTAATCTTTGTGGCCATATAGTTGTGATGCTTTAGATTTCTATTATTCATGTTCAATACCTCTGATTTGTACATCCATGCTGTGCATGAGGGTTTCAAAGCCACTTATAATATATTTTAGATAGATAGATAGATAGATAGATAGATAGATAGATAAAGTAAAAGTAAGATGCTGTAAAAATAGTCAACAACTAAGAAAAAGAAAATGCTAAACTTAAGTGAGGAAAACGTAAAAACAAAACAGAACCAAACATGCATGGGTACAAGTGTGTTTCTATGGAGGCTGTACAAGTAGTGAACAAATTAAATTATTAACTTGAAGAAAGACGTAAACAAACAGAACAGAATTACGGAGGTATAGAGATGTGTCAATGGAGGCTAAATTTAAGTGACTATGAAAACAAAAGACCAAACCATATATATTGTGCAGAGGGGCTGATAACAGTGAGAATATGGTCCTAAAAGTCAATTTCACCCCTCCGTGTCTGTGACAAGTTGAAGAGGTGTATGGCTTGGGGGACAGGATACTTCCTAAGTCTGTACAATGAGCAGGACAGCAACAGCAGTCTGCCACTGAATAAACTCCTCTGCTTGGAGAGTGTGGTGTGTAGGGGATGACTGTCATCGTCCATGATGCTCAGCAATTTGTTAAAAAAATCGGATTAGTACCACATTGTGACGTTTCTGGTGTTAAAACTTCATGTTTCGTGATAAATAAGCCAGTGATATTGACACTAATGGACCTGCCAGGACCTTCTCAGTAACCACTGTTGAGTACAAGGTCTGTAGTGTAAAATAAGCTGGGACAGGTCTTCTTCTTGATTTTTCTAAAAAAGACTCACACAGGGATGTTCCATAACTTCTGACTTTATTGAGACACAACACACAGTACTGTTCATTAACAATGTTTAAGGCCTGTTTGTATTTACCTTGTGTTTTTTATACTGTTGCACCACATCACACATGCTTGATCTCTTTTGGAAAAAAGAATCCTCACAAAACCACATATATTTTGATTTCAAAAATAACTGCACACTTCTACATCAAAGGTGACCTAGTTTAATGAAATGGGTCTCTTTCCATTGCTGTGAATCCCCTTTAAGTCAGGGACCTTTGTGGCTACAGTGGCCTGCTAGTGCCAGTCTGCTCTGAACTCCTTTTTTTTTTAAAGACAGCAGCCCTTCATACTCCACGAAATAAAGATTAGGAAGTTCATTTAGAATCGGAATTGGGGTTTAGACATAACACATACAAGTTATTTGCTTTGGTGTGTTTGTGCATGAATAGAAAAATAAGGAACAGAATAAGAATATTGTAAGCACTAGACAAAAAGGGCAGTAAGAAGAATAGCAATGTACAATTTAAAGTATGTACATGATCGTTATTGGCCGTGGAAAGTTCAAGTTTCACAGTCAGTGTCACATTTACTTAAAGCAGGGATTTTTCTGTGAAACATCACATCTATTTTATAAGTTTACGTAAAAAGAAAACACTCACTACCCACATCAAAAGACTAAATGTTATCACAAACTGCTCATAATCAGCATTTCCTCAGCAAGATATCACTATCTCCCTGCATCCATACCACACTTGGCTTTTCCCTAGGACCTTGACCTGAAAGAGTCCAAACGGCCGAGGACTGGTTTTTTACTTGTGTAAATCTGAGGACTGAGGCGCAGTCTGCAGGAGAGGAGAGAAACACAGAGATATCCATCAAATATAATGAAATAGATTTTGATTTTTGTTTCAGCTTATCTGTCCACAGAGTCTGGAAACTTCGGGTTGTGCTCCTTCATTCTCAGCGGAATCAGGAACTTCATCCCAAGAATAATTGAATGGAAAATAAACGGAGCACATATAAGGTTCGTTGCAGTAATTCAATTTCAGTCCTATCTCCATGTATGTGTGTGACCCACCCAGACGCCACATGAACACAAAGCTCAGGCGGATGCAGCTAACTGAGTTGCCCAGGCTTCAGCTCTCATGCTGCTGCAGTTGGTGCAAAGCTCCAGCTCCCTCTTCACTTTACATGCATCTTATTTCTTAAATGAATATCCGGCCTGTTCAGAGAGTCAGAGAGACATTTTATCTCAAATACTTTCCTCACTGGTAGTTCAGTGTCAGCTCTATGACTCATTATGCTGGTGAGAAAACCATGTGAGCGAGTGGTTGTTTTTGATTCCTGAGTTTGAACATGTTCTATGACCATCGTTTGAGGCAGGCCTATAAAGAATGTGGAAATACAGCTTGTAGTCAAAACAAAGGCAGCAAAACTCCTCTGGATGACGTCTGCTGGAGGAGTTTTGTGGCCATGTGCTAACATATAATGTAACGTAAGGGAGGCAAAGGGAGGTTTCATGCCATTCAGGTGAGAACCATTAGAATCAATGTGAACATCTAATTTTAAAGCAACATGGTGTGCATGTTGGATTTTTCTCATCTTTATTTTATTCTTACTCCAGTTTTGGCAAAGATGTTCTGGAGTGTAAATGTGCTGCATGATTCCAGTGTTAAATCCACACATTAATAGAGTATATCTAGATTTGGGGATGAACCTCATCTACTTCAGACATGCACTGATCTCCGGAGAACCTGTCTCCATTGGGGCTGTGTGAACTCAAATGTCCGAGTCAGAGCCTCCAGAGTTTCTGTGGTCTTCCTCCTGGTAGTCCCTTGCAGGAGCCCGCTGCACCACCCCTTATCTGAATCCTCCTCAGAACGTGTTGCTCTTCTGTGTTGGTCATCTGGATCATTCAGAATAATATGTTTAATATTTAAATTCATTTTCAATTTTCCCCAGATGTGGGGTCAGTTGCATCACCTGACCTCTTTTCTTTAAATGCTAAGTCTTAGCTTATTATTATATGTAAACATATTTTAAAACTGTGGGTAATAAGCAGGGAGACTGGAGTTTAATAAATTAGTTTAGTAAAATTAGTCTTACTTTTGCAACCTAAAGTGCAAGTGGCTTATAATACTCTTGCGTCTCTAATCATATTGGTTGCAAAAGTGAAGTCATCGCCTCTGTATGACCATATGATCATTTTTTGTTTAGCCTGTAGGGATATCTGAACAAAATACATAAGGGAACTATGCATAATGTCATTTTCTGACCTCTCTGTGACTGATGTGATATAATTAGGAATAATTATATGATTGGTTTAAACTTTTGATTTTCTCTATCACAATTTCCTTTATCATTTGAACTAATGATGTCTTGAAATCAGGTAAAAACCATCACATAATGAAGCAGACTGTGTTAACAGATGAAACAGTTCCAAACAATATCATTGAGTCATCTGGGTCACATATATATTTTACCTTTGGCCTCAGGAACAATTAAATATGATATACTCAGATATTAGATTGGGTAAATCGCTGTCATAGTACAACTTACCATAATGTTCAAGGCGATTTCTGTTGCGTGTTTGTTTCTCATCTGATCTGAGGTCTGTGGTCGACAGCATCCTGGCTGGCAGGGACTGATTCCTCTTTGATATCAGGATAAATAGATTTTACATGTAGGTTTATGAGGCAGCATTGTACCTGAAGAGTTGACAGACTTTAAGAGTCTCTGAGAGGAAGCACTGAAACTAAGTCTTTAAACTTCAAGTTGGTTTCTAAAGTTAAAGGCTTCCTGACTGACAACAATGACTGAATTTACAATTTAAGATGATTCACCTGAGTAATAAAAAAAAGTCTTAACTGGATCTATTCTATATATTTTACTATAGAATTATTATATTGTTAATATGTGTGTTCTGTGGATTGCAGAATAATGAG